AACTGGTAAAAAGAGGAGCAAGAAGGACTATAAGAAATGACAAATCTGTATATATGCTCAATCTCGTATAAATAATTATTTTTTAATGTGGAGATTTTAGAACAAATAATTAAAAATGACGAACTAGTAAACTACTGCAAATGTATTACCTATCAATATACATATTTTCATGCATTCTTTTGCCTTTGGTTACTAATTAAATGTTTTCCATTGAACAATGATCAAGCTTCACATTTGGCAAACCATCCATATGGCGTACTACGTTTTACCAATTTTTTTTTTTTTAAACCAATTTCCATGTAAATATTTCAGTTTAAACATGAAATGCAATTTATGTCTCATTGGTATACAATTGTGTCTTGGTCGAAAAAATTTAAGATCATAATATCATGTAAGAATCTCAATTACAAACAAAGGTGAAAAAGATTGATACAGAACTTAGCAACCGAACCCATGAACAATTCACTGTAAATTCATGAGGGAAAATTAAGAAAAAAGTGAACAAATATTTGGGGAAGAATTCATCTTTAAACAATATCCGGCAGAGTCACCAGAATGATAACAAAAATCCGGTCCGATTTGGCCTGAGCACACAAGTCCGTGGTGGAGTTAGAGTGTAAAATCTACTAGATTTTGAACCACGCCAAGCGTAGAATTAAATATATAAATATATTTTCTAATCGATCTTAATATTTAGACGTGTATTCTAATATTTCTAAACGTACAAAATGATATGTATTGTGCATAAATGTAATAAAATTAAATTTTTACTAAACATATTTTAATATCATATGCTTTGATCAATTTTGCATAAAAGTATCAAAACTAATGCAAATGTTATATTTCCATGTCATATGCTTTGATCAATTTTGCATAAAAATATTAAATCTAATGCAAATGTTATTTATTTCAATTTATTTGAAGTGTCAAATTGAGTTTTATTATTTGTGTAAAATTGTACAGTATACGATAAATCAAATAATTTTTAGATTTATATAAATTTGTCAAACAAAAAATATATGTTTTTTAATAATAAAATGTAAAAATATTTATAAGTGTAGTTCTCAACTACAAATAAATAATATTGTTAGAAATATAATAATAAAAAGCTTTTTAATATGGAGCAATTACAAAAATGCCACTTTTTGTGTGCACATTTGCAAGAATACCACTTAAGGATGTCCATTTACAAAAATGTCACT